GCACACGAGTTGCTTCGTCTATTTTATTTGCGCTATTTTTTTAATAAATTATTTTTTTAAATTGTAATGGAGTTAAATGTTGTCACAATAATGTCAAGGAATGTTAGATGGGTGGGATTTTGAGTTTAAAACATATGTACTTAATAGTAAATGTAACTAACATTATTGTCTATATATATATATTACTTCTTTTAATTACATGTATTGTTGAGAAGTCATTAGGTTTACAGTAGAGGTGAGGTTAGGCACTCAAATATTTAAATATTGTATTTATAATAGAAATATAATGTGAAAGATTCATAAAGATCTTATATTGCATTGACATTACCCTTGTTTGAACACTTCAAATATCTAAAGATCTACATAAGGGATTGTCATCCCTGTTCCTTGAGGCCACCTTCCTGCAGACTTCAGTTCCAGCCCTGCTCCAAAACACCTGGCCGGCACGTAAGCAGCACATTTTTTATTTTTTTTGGCAGGCATGATAACAAATGAGTGCATTCACACCAGCGCTGAGTGAGCAGCAATGAAGCAAGGTTTTTTTTTTGGCTGGCAGAGCTGCTTTCTGTCTGTTTCATTAGTCTTTGTAGAGGAACATGATTAGATTCCACTGACAGACCCAGAAAAAAATGCAGGAAAAGGTTCTGATCTGTAGAGCCTCATCCAAAGCTCTCTGATGCCGCTCAGATAAAACATGTTTTGATGGATTAGTGGATTAGTGGTCTTTGTTTGGGGATTTTGTCAAACACATTTATGTTGTTGTTTGTGAAAGAGAGGCACATATATGAGTTGCTAGATATTCCTGGATGTTCAGATGAACAAACACCTTCCCCTGGTAGAGCCCAAACTCCTCTCTGAAGATCTGAGTGCACAATCCTGAGTATCATGTCTCATGTCTCCATCTTTCACTGTCTTCTCATAATCCTTCTCATGTTTGATGTTGGTCTGAATGATCAGGAAGTGTGTGTACGTTTGATTGAGAGTCTTGGAAATCTCTCCACTCTCTGTTTCACTCAACATCCTCTCTAGAACAGTGGATGCAAACCAGCAGAACACTGGGATGTGGCACATGAGGTGGAGGCTCCTTGATGACTCAAAGTGTGAGATGATCGTATTGGCCAGACTCTGATCACAGATTATCTTCCTGAAGTATTCCTCCTTCTTTGGGTCATTGAAGCCATGCACTTCTGTCACTCGATGGACACACACAGAGTGGACGAGATCAGCTGCTGCTGATCTGGAGGTGATCCAGATGAGAAGCAGATTCCTCTGCATGAAGTTTGTCAGAAGCACGTACACTGTGGCTGATTCATGTACATCACACAACCGCATTGCAGTGAAAATTCGGAGGCAGACAACATTCGTCCAGACCATCAAAGATAAATGACACTTTATATTCAGATCTAAAAGGCTACATTTTTTGCTCTTACATCAAATTGAGCTCTCTGAAAGGAAGTGGAAATATGAGATGGACGTCCTTATACTCTTTCCTAATAGCCCAGTCCAGGATGAACTGATGCACAGAGACTGTTTATCCAATGCCAGCGACTCCCGTTGTCAGCACAGTTCTGATGGGTTTGTCTTGTTCAGGTAAAGCTCTAAAAATGTCATTGCTTTTGATCGGTCTGTCCTCTGTTGCTGCTCTCTTAAATTGTGTCTCAATCTGTCTCACCTCATATTCATTACTGATCTCTCCATTTTCACCCTCTGTGATGTAGAGATAGATCTGTGTAGATCTCATTCAGGAGTGTTGGGTTACCCTGCTTTGATGTTCCCTCATGTAGACACTGAAACTTCTTCATTAGTTTTAATTTTAATGCCTTAAGGACTTCAGCAGGATTAGAGTCATAAATTAAAATATCAAATTATTCCAGTAAACATTTTTGTTTGTTTGTTTTCTGTATCATGAGACGCAGATAATCAGTTCCATGAAGTTTTAAATCAGTTAAACTGTTTTGGAGTAATGTTTGATGAGCCATTATAGCATCTAAAACAAATTTTAAAAAAATCATATTTTATTTTACCTGAAATCAGAATATGTGCTTTGTAGCTGATTCATAAACTTGTCATCCTTCTTACAGACAGGTTCTGTTATGTCTGATCTGGGTGGATGGATGTGACATTAAACATCATCAAGAGAATCAAACTGATATTTGTAGATCTTTTCCTCATTACCTTCATAATTCCATTAGTAATTCCACATTCCACAGTCTTTACACTGTGAATGTATTTATTAACAATAAGTGTTATATAATAAAACAAATTTACCCACCATAAAACAAAAATGTCATTCTATAATCATATATATTATACAATGTTCATACATGAGACCAGGTTGTGTGTCTGCACTCTTAAAGGGGTCATATGATGCTGCTAAAAATAACATTATTTTGTGTATTTGGTGTAATGCAATGTGTGTCTGAAAAGTGAGGTGTGCTCTGATTGGCCAGCTATCCAGTGTGTTGTGATTGGCTGAATACCTCAAGCGTGTTACAGAAATGTTATGCCCCTGTACCATACTGTGTTTCCATGTGTCCCGGCGCTGCGAGACAAAACCAGTAAAACCCATTACAAACGAGGCATTTGTTGCATCCAGTGGGGACATAATTACTGATTATAATGA